GGCCGGGGGCGCTCTCGCCGCTCGGCGTAGTGGGGGTCTGGCCCACCCGGCGCACGGTGGCCATGCCTGTCACGCTGTTCTGCTGAGTCCGTGCGGTCCATACACCCTGCAACTGCCCGAGGGACGACTGACTGTCATTGAGGGAGTCAGCCGTGCCAGGCGCGTTGGCCCCACTGTCCAAGAGCCGATTGTCCTGCAAGTCCACCATGGACAAACTCTTGCTGCCATTAGACATCTGCACGTCGGGCTCATTGGCCTCTGAGTAACTGGAGCTTCGGGCAGGCGAGGGCTGGGCCCCAGCAGACCTTGTGACAAAAAACAAGTCCTTGTTTTCAGGGGTTGGAGATGGTAACCGTGTGAAATCTATCAGACTGCGGGGAATTCAGTGCGTAAGGAAGAGGAGAGGAAAACAAAACAAAAAAGAAGAGTTGTGAATGCTGCGCCGGAGCAGGAAAACGAAATCACTCAGAAGAAATCAGCGTGGGCGCAGCGGTGGGGGACGGGGACGTAACCCCCTGCGGGCGCAGAGGCAGGGCTGGCCCGGCCAGGTCTGCCTGCGGGGAGGGACAGCGCAAGGGGCGCGGGGAGGGCGGCGGGGTGCAGAGGAGCCCTGGGCCAGCGCTGCGGGAGCAGGCGGGTGTAGGCAGGCGAGCGAGGGGCGGGCGGACGCGCGGTGAGACACTGCGCTGTGCAGGAGGCACCGCAGACACGCTCTCGGGGGCTCGGCCTCCCCGGCCGGAGCTGCTCATCCCGCTGACAGCACGTGTCACCCTTTCTGCTTCCAACTGGCTGTCCCCCCTGCTCTGCACAGGGACAGTAAGCTCCCGAGGGCATGCTGGCCAATACTGGCACAGCATGGAGCACCACGGGGGCCTGATCCACCCTAGGCCTCCAAGGGTCAGACAGAGAGCTCTAACAGCAGAGCTAAAGCCCAGCAACTGAAGGTTAGCCACCCATTCCTCCTGCTGGAACATGCTTTCATGCAGTATTGATTTCTTGGGGATAGGAAGAAAGAGCTTTGCAGTAGCTTAATGTGAATATACCACTGATCAAAGACAGCGCATTCTAAGCAAGTATTTGGGTGAAAGCATGTTGTCAGAGATCCTCCACAGCATTAGATTCAAATAATTGTAGCTCACGCTGGGAAGCATTAGAGACGAAAGCTCAGATTAGAGCAAGTCCAGCACCATGGCTGCCTTTCAGTCCTAATTAAACTGTTAAATATTAGTAGTTTCCACTCACAAACTATTTTACTAGCACAGTCTTTCAATTTGTGTGGGCTCCATTTCATTTTCCACAAACAGAAACATTACAGGTCTGCAATAGAGTCATCTCTCCCATGAATGAAACTCCTCACAAAAAAGTATGTTGGGTGACTGTGTCTGTGAATCACTGCTCATCATTAAAAACACCCAGTATTATAAAAACTGGACAGAGTGGACTGGAACTCACTGTTAGGCCTCTACAGCTTGGCCACTGTTAGAGAAATGTCTGGATTTGGAGCTCAGTGAATTCAGCACATACCCCGCCTTACCAACTGGGTAAGGCCAATCCCATAAATCTTGCATACTCAGAGACCTAATGAACTCAATGGCGATACCATCACTTTGAGGTTGGCACAAACAAGCCCTCAAGTCCTCAGAGGATAAACATTTTGCTTCTGCAGCCGCATCTCAACAGCTGAGACCAGAACTGCCAAGTTCTTGATTTCCCAGACCACATCCCCAGTTTTGGCTCTCAAGGGACCCAGGATGGAGCCATGGGCTTGCACCACCGCCCACTGCTTTGTCTAGATTCAGAGCTGAACTACATCCAGTATCAGCTCTGCGATCGGAAAGCCTAGTCAGTGGATCAGGCAACACCACACTACACCCTGTCCCGCCTGGCCCTGCAGGTGCTCAGGTTTTGGCAGTAGATGAATATTCAGTATTTCCCTGGTCTGTGGCCAGGACACCTTTTATGCTCTTACCCAGATAAGTCATTCTCTATCACCATTTTCTGCAGCCCCGCAGAGATGCTGTTGCCAGCACTGGGCGTCGATGCGGTGTGATCAGCCGTGACCGAGACCTGCACGCAGGCCGGGTTACTGAGCGCCGAGTTGACGTCCCTCAGGATCCGAGGCAGAGGCCCAAGTTTTGTTGCAGTGCCCTGGTCAGGAAAGAGAGCAGAATTACTACCAACATCTTGTATTTTTGCTGGAGAACAGTGGGCTTTGCCAGTTGCTGGGCAGTCTGTTCAGTGAGTCACATGAACAACATTCCTTTTCTCCATCATTCACCCCCATTGCTGAGGCTATGGGATGTCCCAGAACACGTGGCTTTAGAAAACACTTGCTGCTGTGGTGGAGAGGAAGCAAGCGTGATTAAAAATGCTCAGATACAGAAGACGACAGCTACGGCCAAGCCTGGTCCAGGTCTCTTCACAAAAATCCATTTAATTAAGAAGAAACCTTTTGAATCTGCTGGGACAGACAAAATCGTGGTGTTCAGCAGCTCTGCCTTCTCATCCCGCCTGCCCCTGCATCCTCACCCTCCAACGACAAACAGCAGAGAAGGGAAGAGCTGTACTCACCCGCCTCAACGAAGGATGCAAAGAGTGAGCTGCTCCTGCAGCACGTGCGAAGGCTGGGGAAGTGCTAAGGGTCAGCAAAGCTGTGCTGTGCAGGGCTACAGCTAACGGGCTGGCAGTGCTGGGCACGGGGAGGTGTGGGGTGTGCTACATATGCCCCGCACCGGCCGACGGCGCTTCCCCCAGAGCCTGCCCCTGCGATCCCCCCCGGATACCTGCTCCAGTTGAGAAATGACTTCCCAGAGTAGCGAGTGCAAAGTGGACAGTTCCCGGCCCAGGTCAATGTAGCCTTCAAAGCCAGCGGTGTTTGAGATGGTTTCAGGATTGGAAATCTCCAGTAGAAATCTCTGCATGTTAGTCCATTCATGTTCCAGGAACTGATTCATAAAGGACATGTACTCCTCTTTGCTGCCAAACCTATCAAGACAGCAGTTTGAATTTCAGCAAAATCCCGTAAACAGAAGTGCAGTCAACAGAACGGGCAGGTACATACACCGGTAAGAATGCCAGAGCCCTCCTCTGGCATCTGAACCCTTCCAAGCCTTTGGGATCCCCAGGTTGCTAGCAGACACCTGGTACACCTCACTGAGCATGGAAGCAGAATTAACTCCAGCCTAATCCAGCTAAGCCCTCGCCAGCCAGGGATCTCTGCAGTAGAAATGAAGGTGAAAGCTAGAGAAACAAAGCCGCTCTTGGTAATGGAGAGCATCTTACTGCTGGGTCAGTGCACAGCCTCCAGAAATAGGACCTGTCACTGGAAATAAAGAAATCATCGTACCAAGGACCATCAACTGACTGAAGCCCAGTGAATGATGGTGGCAGGAACCCTGCACTCGCCCCG